TAGTATAACCATATATAATTTCGTCCGACTTTAAGTACATGGCATATTCGCACAAAATTTTGCACAATGTACTGAAGTTACTACATCCTAACGTGCGTCAAGTATTGTTGAAATCGGTTCAGATTTAGATTTAGTGATATAGCTTCCATATATAGTGTGTAGTTTTGTATAATTTTCAGTAACTAGAATGGAGTTATCGTGTTTTTTTATATTGGTGTAGATATTTTGAATGGGTGTCATTCGCCAGATTGACACACACACATCAGGAATATTTTAAATATTGTATTCCCAAATGTAGATCTAGTACCAACCATGTTAAAATTTAGGGCTGTTGATGTATATAACAGGATCGGATTGTAATATCAAATACTGAGTCGATTCTTCCAAATATTCGGGATGCTCTTTATTATTTTGTGACATAAGTTGATAGCATCTTGTGGCAATCCAAAGGTAATGTTCTGCACAATATATCTCCAAGTCCATGAACTAAAATTGTTATGTATGAACTTTCCATAAAGTGAAATGAACTTTCCGCTTCCGATGGCAATTATTTCCAAGTTCTTCTTTCTATTTGGCCCTCAATTACTTCTTTAATAGTAGGCATAAACGTCTAAATATTGCATGAATATGTCATATTTGTTAATACGTTGAAGAATACCAAACTTCATATTCATTCAATTTGCAGTGTTTTCTATCACTTCTCATCAATAAATTTGTCCTCCGAGATAGTTGGTTCTGGCCATTTTTGGCCGCAGCCGTGATATCGCTAGACTATTAAATAGTGAAATTTGTAATTTGAAGACATCATGTATTTCCATAAAAATGCAATATGTATCTGCGGAGTTTCTCTTTCTTCTTAGATGATTTGTTATTTGTTGATACTTCGATCCGGAATGTACATATGACTGAAGCTGGCGTGTCATAAACCGTGTTTTTTTAATACGTCCAAGGGTGATGCGAAACTCCGACGTTTTATGTATTAACATTCTGGTACTCATGGATTGTAAGAACAGAATGTCGGGATGGATGGCATACATACTGTGTTTCCCAAAAGGGGTTAATACGGCGGATTGAACAGACATCTCTTATTAGCCAGTTCGTACACACGCAACTCTATTTGGTTCTTCAATTAAATCTTCAATAACGCTATTTTGGAATGAAATTTTATCAGGATGTTGCAAATGGTATGTTCAAATCAAAACATGACCTGTCCCATCCAATTCGTTATCATGGTGACTAACACTTGTAAAGTGAACTTAGTTTCAATGTAGACGTGAACTCAGTTTCATCAGACGTTTTTAGCAATAGACTTAAGCATATCGAAGGATATACGTGGAAACATTAATCTTGCACTACTTCCAATATTTTGAGATATAAACCAGAAACAAGATGCCGTTCTTTTTCACTTAATTCTTTCAGCATGGCTTTGTGTTAATGTCCATGTGTGTGTGTGTGTGTGTACTCATACCCCTAGAGATAAAAAGCGGCAATTCTCTTCTATGCATATTTTTCTATTCATTCGGGGCAGCGTCCCCAACAATAGTCCCCCGTTCAGCATAATAATCATCGTCAGCACCATCGCCATCAACTGTTAGCCGTTACAATCAGAGTTCCCGTCATAGTCACTGCCAAACCAATTTTTTCTTCTCTATTTTTTTATTCGTTTTGTTTGTTTGAGCTTCATACTCCAGCCAAGTTGTGTTAGTGCTTGTTGCTGTTGCTGGGTTTTGTCGTTATTATTTTCGCATTCATATTTTTGTTGGGACTGCTTTGTTTTGTCTATTATTCCAATGTTGGACCATTGCATGTTTTTCTCTTCTCTAACACCTGCCTGCTCCGAGCACCACCCTAATCCCACAAACAACCCGGCATTTGCCCTTTTTCGTAAAATTTTCAAGTCCGAAACGCCGACACCGGTTTTTTTATTTTGATATATTTGCACAACGACGACTACAACAACGACAACAACAATAAGGTAAACGCGAACACAACTCAGCATTCAGTGCACCCCTGATCGGCGCTAACATTTGCCATCACTCATTCTAATGAAAACGCCGTCACTCATCCCTTTCACTTTTCCCATTTAGTCGTCGGTTCGTTTTCTTATTGTTGTTGTTGCATGCAACTGTGCAGAGGCTCTCATACCCGTGGCCGTGAGCCTTACCCCTTGCCCATGACGACAGCGAACCATTCCGAGTGTATCGTGTGGTTAGTTTTACGCGCTTTCTCACACTCCCCCGCATGAATGAAAAATGTGGTGAGTGGAACATCATCAACGTGAACAAGAGCAACAGCCACATCCACACACACACACACACTGATAACAATATTAATAAACATAATGACGATGTTAATGATAATGACGGTGCCGATTATCACCGTTACTTGCAATGAAATGTGCGACACAACAAACGAGAGTCGAGAGTCCCGCTTTGAGAGTTCTTCTGCTTTCCTCCACGTCCTACTACGTCACTACAGCTGTTTTCGCAACCCTCCCCCCCTCCGCACCACAACAACAAGCGGAGAACGTGTGCGATATGTGATGGCAAGTTTGTCACTTTGACATTTCGCCACTTATTGCCGTTTCTATGTTTTTGTCCTCACATACTTGGTCCTCGCTCCTTACTGGCACACTCACTGCCTACTCAGATGTTTTGCGAACTCATCCGCCCGACCCTTGGCGTCCCGTCCAGCTTTTTCGGCGACAACGAACTCACCATACCTTGGCACTGTTCGTTGTGCTCTTGTTTCACCAGTCCACTTTTGGTATTTGTTGCTGTTTTTGTCGAAAATCCTTCTTCATCATGCTATTTATCGGCACGTACTCTTTGGCTTTCCGACATCGTTGCGAGCGTCCCACATTTGTGTGAATGTCATCGGAGTTTGGCGCCCACTGTGTGCGCATGCCCCGGAAAATGGGAATGAACGAAGCGAAAACAACAACGTATCTGTGCCCAGCAAGTGTTATCTCTCTCGTGTCCTATCCCCTGCCTCTGAGGCTCTCTGGGCTGTTAGTTCTGCTCCTGCTGTCATTGTTGTTCCTGGTGCTGCTGCTGCCGTCAACTGGCACACAATAATTCAAAATCTATTCGCACATTTCTGTTTTGATCAGTTAGCTAAGAATAGTCGGTGTGTCAAGTCGTGTCGTGTCCTTTTTCCCGCAGCGTACATCAAGCCAACCGCACGGTTATCAACGGTTATTGGATATATTTTCAAATTGAAATTGAAATACAAATACAGATAAGCAACACTTGTTATGGGATTTATGTGAAAAGGCACAACAAACACATTCCTGCAGTGACATCTGTCAGAATTGACAAAATTCAGTTAAACACTAATAAAAAACAACAACAACAACAAATAAAAAACCGTCACAAATTCGAATAGAAGGATATGATAGAATATTGAAGATCTCGCAATCTTGTGTTTTCAAGTGTGTCAGTGTGTGCAAGTGCAAGTTTCTAAATAAGTGCATTTATATGGTTTAGCATTTGAAGCCTTAAATTATTTACATACGGACTTACCTTGTAGATAAGCATCGCCAACTGGGCCAAGTGTTACTGAAAAAGAAAGAAATAAACAAAAATAGCCCAATTAATTCTCCTTTACACGTTGTTAAATAAATTATCCAAAATTCCGAAAAATCCGAGAAAAACCTCTAAGCAGTCGACACGTACAGCGTCGTCAACCGGTGGCGGTGGTGGAACCACAAAAATGGCATCAAAACGGAAAGCTTCAGTGTTACTACACAAGGTAATATTACACACACACACCCTCACAATATAAAATAATAAAAACAAAAACTAAAAACAAAATTATTAATTGTCAATTTCTCAAATCTAATTGTTTGCCTCGGAAGTACGCACACCATATAATGTGCGAATGGTTGACTATCATGTGGAACCTTTCGGAAATGATCTTTTGTAACACTTGTTTGACTTTTTTACTCAACATTTTACAATAAGCATATCTTTCGGACATTGGTGTATAATCAAGCTAGAAATTGCCCAGATATGGAGCAATATCACATAGGAAGTTTGTATAAAACGATACTAAAATCGGATGTGGTACCGTCTGAAGAAGTTACCAGTTTCGGTTGTGTTTGATTTTATAAATCATACTAACATTTAGTACTCATTATGCTGCAACAGAACTAGAAATAATGACTTAGTCCTGACAATCTTATTTTTTTCTGAAGCACGTGTTTAATTCGAATGCGAAGTGGATATTTAAAATAAATTGTATGCAAACCAATAACCTATCGAACGAAAGTACATTACAAAGACAACAACTATTCTAAAAGGTAAATAAGGGGAAATATTGAAAGACATTTGTTTCATGATGCCTCTGTGATATGTAATGTGCGAATGGTTGACTATCATGTGGAACCTTTCGGAAATGATCTTTTGTAACACTTGTTTGACTTTTTTACTCAACATTTTACAATAAGCATATCTTTCGGACATTGGTGTATAATCAAGCTAGAAATTGCCCAGATATGGAGCAATATCACATAGGAAGTTTGTATAAAACGATACTAAAATCGGATGTGGTACCGTCTGAAGAAGTTACCAGTTTCGGTTGTGTTTGATTTTATAAATCATACTAACATTTAGTACTCATTATGCTGCAACAGAACTAGAAATAATGACTTAGTCCTGACAATCTTATTTTTTTCTGAAGCACGTGTTTAATTCGAATGCGAAGTGGATATTTAAAATAAATTGTATGCAAACCAATAACCTATCGAACGAAAGTACATTACAAAGACAACAACTATTCTAAAAGGTAAATAAGGGGAAATATTGAAAGACATTTGTTTCATGATGCCTCTGTGATTTTGTTTAATATGTGAATATAATGGCTTATGCGGAGGATATAAAATTCAGATTGTATATTTTATTTGAAGTATCTCATCAAGTTTGTAACACATCGAAATAATCACATATATGGCAAAATATACTCTAAAATATATCCTTGCAAAAAGTTTTCCATACTTCGGACTAGTAAGTTGGGATTTCCAACCTATGTAGACGGACGAAAGTAGTCTGCAGAAAATTAAGCTGGAAGAACGTATCTTTGTACAAAACAACACTTCATTGCAAAAAGTGTTCGATACGCATACAGACTTTATAACAAAGTCTATATGCGTAGTCTAATTTTGTGAGATCTTTAATTCCTTTTTTATGAAATGTATATTTATATGTAACCAGATTTTAATTCAAAATACTGTTATATGCTTTGGAAAATGTTTATATTTATATTTTTTTCCGTCCAACTACTACTCAGTGACTGCGATCCCGCAACTGTGATGCGTTCTTCTGAAAGATACCAATTACTTTAAATCATATATTGAGTAAAATATCTGAAATGTCGATATATTTCGGCTGAAAATAACAAAAATTTCTGAAAATTTTCTTAAAACTTCAATTGTGGGTTGGAAGAGAGTTGAAATATAACGGTATTTTTGAAAATTGTAGTAAAGAGTACGAGTGGCTCTAAATATTGTATACAGTCTTACTAAAAATGTTGCAATTAAATTGCTGATATGTTTTCGTTCACCAAGGAAAAATATAATAATGTAATTCCTATAAAATCAATACAACTTCATATTGCATTTGGTTACTTGGTTCTTACAATTTCGCTATATTAAATGAATATTCATTGATATTCATTTAATATTGATATTCATTTAATATAGCTTATTACAACTTGTTATGTTTATCATAACATCGATAAGATCTTAGACAAATTTCGATCATAAAGTAGCATACCAAAAACATGCTCGATCAACATTTTCAATCAAACAATGACTCCACTGATGTCGAAGCTCCATTAATAAATTGGTTCCAGAGAAAACCATGTTCGCCCAAGAACTATTGGCTTGGTAAATTCAGTACCAACATTGCAACTATGAAATTATTATGTAAGAAAGCGTTTATTTATTATCGAGAGAGTGAGCGAGTAATAGTAGAGAGGCAGACAAGTCTACTTGCTCCTCATTTTGTAATTACCCAAAAGGATTTAGAGGAAGGTCCCTATCATGTTGCTTTAAATGATCATATTTCTTATATTTGTCATCTTAACATTTAAAATATCAACCGAATTGATCGTTCTTTATTCAATCCAAATAGGCAAGTTTTTAAGAAATCATCTAAATTCGAATAGACGTCTTATTACATACATGTGTACATGAGAAGCGTGGGCGCGTATTTGGATGACTGATAGCATAACTCAAAGCCAAGACCCCACACCTAAACCGCATACACAATTCATTTCTATTCGCCCTCGTCTCCCTCTTCCAATTTCATTCTAACCTACTACTTTTCTTCATATGTACAAACAAGAGTCCACATATACCCACCCGCTCACAAATATATTAGCGCTGGATTCATACATACATTCATGTGGGCCACACATTAAATCGGTTTGGGTGTACCAAAAATGGAGGAGTTACATTTCCCTGGGTTCCACACACTCGCACACGAACACTATTCGAACACAAGCAAAGGCGCGACCGCGACTTGCTTGGGTGTTCGGGAGGTAACATCTCAAATACAAGAATGGATTAGGGGTGGTGTTGTCTGGCTGAATTTTTGTGCGGTCCCCCAAAAAAAAACTAAACACAGCAGTAGCAGAAAAGCTTCTCGTTAAAAGGGCTCAACGTAATTCATCAAACATAACAAAGAAGACAGAGTTTCTTTCTTGGGCGTCGATTACCCCATCCATCCGTATGTCAGCGAACCACGGCATTTTGACACAGAGAGGCATAGACACACACACACGCACTCACGTACAATAGAAAACATGCACACAAGACATAGTCATAGACACTCAACGAACGCAGCCATACCCCCAGTCATATTTGTTCATTACAGACTCGCATATACATACATACGTTCATTCAAAGTCATTTACCGACTAGGATGCCAGAGGTGGCTAAGCGGTTACGAAGACACCAAACAAAAACGGCTCCCACATATTAACTTTACTCCCCAAGTATTACACAGTTTGAGTTTTCGGGTTCACTTTTATTGAGAACCCCCAACTCCTTTGTAGCAGGGCCACCATAATCCATATCCTTCAGTGTGACTGACTGGCTGGCTGGCTGGCTGGGTGATGGCGAGGTGTGGGTTGTGTGTCTGTGTGGGTGGGTCAATGCTGAACGAACGACTTAAATAGAAGGTTTTCTTATATTTCCCCCGACATTCTTTTCTTAAAACTTCTACACAGATACAGCACCAGCTCATCACACACAGGATTTGCAGGCAGCAATACTAAATTCTGGGCAACTTCCATCATCAAGCGTCCCCTCATACCACCGACACTGTTTCTATTTTCTTTCTTGTCCTGTGAACTATTTTTCTTCGTCTTGGTGCTCATTGCTGTGGCTATTGTTGTTGTTGCTGTTGTTGTGACTGTTCCATATTAAACATTTTCTAAGTTCCATGGTCAAGCAGTAAAGTTAAGCATGTAACCTAAGGGGGTATTACAAACTTATTCTGTTCTTGTTTTTTCTCCGTTTCCCAATGCTTTACACACATACGCACACACACACTCATATACATACAAATGCAGCTCACTTCTATTCCCTGTCATTTGGAAATCGGTTGAAGACACATCTACAGCACAGCACACCATACACACACACATACTCACCTACATATATGTGTGTTTAGTTGTCTTTTAGTAAAATGAAAATGTGCTCCCAATTCCCTTTCCTTCGAATTGCCACCGTCGACTCTTGGTTTTGTATTGCGATAAATGTGACCGTATGTGTGTGTGTGCATGCGTATGAGTGCGGACAATGCATGTGACTGTGTGTGCTTGTATGTCTACGAAATATTCTTCGTAAGCTTAAGAAAGTTGTATTGCTTTACTTTGTTTACCATCAGGCACACACACGCAAGCACGCATGCACGCACTCGTCCTCACAGATACACTCGTATTAGACACTCACCAACTGGCAAATCTAAAAGAAACTGCAAACTGGAAAGAAATTCCTTGCCGCAAACAAAAAAAGAAAAGATTTTTACAGTTTTCTGGCGCCCAGACAAACAACCCAAATGTCGTACTTTTTGTTTTTGCAACAGGAGATGGTTGACGACGGTGAGGGTAAATGCGGTGGTGTCGTAAGGCTATCTGGCAGTGGTCTCCACTAGGATTCACTACTCTGTTTTTTGTTTCCATAAACTAGTTATTTGTCAGCACCATAGTAATAGGTATTTGTAAATATTCCAAATCGAAAATCTTCTATTACGAGGTTGGTCCAAAATTGCAAATGAAATTATTAGTTGCTAATAATGCTGGACCGAGTATTAGCTGTATCGACATAATCCTGCTTATCACAAAGGAGACATCCGATATTCTTATATAAATTTACACCTTCATTAATGGACGAATTTGCAATTGGCAGGATAACAACTGTTACATTCTATTAGTAGAAGAAAACAACAACTCGAGATATCAGAAGAATAACAATAATTCAAAACAAAATTATACCATCGTTTGTGCTTATGATAAAGTTATAATACGAATTAACCCTACGATCAATAACCGCGTACATTTGTACCTTTTTTGATTAAAATTCAAATTTTGAGGAATCATTCTTGGTCTATTTTCCCTCATAATTGATCAAACAAATTTATATTGGTTTTTCATCCTTGGTTTTAAAAATGTTTAAATGACTTACAGTGCAATATTTGAGACACTACAAATGTAGCATGGTTATTGATGTACGTATACATTTTTGG